CTTTGGATATTTCTTTTGTACTGTATATATTTTTGTATCTTATTTATATTAGTGTTAGAGCATCCGCATTTAGACATTTTGTATGTGTCTTTAAATATAAAATTATTAAAAGTTGAATAAAAGGAAGAAAGAGAGTGTTTTTGGTTGAAATAATAGAGTATATTGAAATATAAAATTAATAAAATTTGAGTAAAGAGATGAGATAGTGAGTATTATTGGAGAGAGGATGTCTCGGGGAAGACAAAGTTGGAGAGAAAATTGATGAAAGTTGGAGTGTGTTTAAATATAAAATTAATAAAAGTTGAGTAAAAAGATGAAAGAGAAGATATAAAGTTGAATAAAAGGAAGAAAAAGTATGTTTTTAATATTTTTTTATTTAGAAACATCCACATTTAGTCTCCAACGTGGATGGTTTTAGATGAGAGAGAGAGATGAGATTTTGAGATTATCACTCTAATCTTTTTACATTTGTGTAGAGATAGAAGATTTTTTTAACTTGACTTTTTATTTTAGGATTTATTTTTAAAATTTAGGATTTATTTGTTTGTTTGTAGTATTTCTTATGATATACAGTATGTATAAGGGACGCCAAAAAAAAAATACAGTATGTATAAGGGTTAAAAAAGTATACGAAATATAACCAACGTTTTTCAGGAAAAGCTATTAATTCAAAAATGTAACCCTTAACAGAGTTGGAGTAGTTAATAAAATATCTAAAAAAAAAATAAGAAAAAAACGTTACGTTCAAGAGAAATAAAAACAAAAGATTACCATAGAAGATTGAATCAAAAAATTTGAGTTCATTTAATTGTCTTGTATTTTTAGGTAAAACATAAAATTTAAGATGTCGCGTTTGACTATTTTTTTTTATTTTTTCTTTTAAATAATGGGACTTCTCATTTGGATAGTTATATATTTATATATAATTTTTAATTCACGAATACTATTCTATTTATTGTTCTTTTCAATATATACTATTCTGTTTTATGGGTTTTTCTCTCTTTTGTTTTTTACTTTTCTTTTGTCTTGTCTTTGAGTTTGGTATGTTTGATATCGTAGACACCAACAATATCCCCCATGCTTAAATGCGTACGCCGGACCACATGCAAGTTGCAAGAATGCACAACTGATTCCCTCTTTCACTATGAAAATTCATTGAAATCGAATGGATGCTAATTATTTTGTTTGAATATTCTATCGTAAATCAAATTGTTGAAAAGTGGAATCATTTTGTTAATAAGTAATTTTGTTGGCATTTGAGAGTTAAGCCCTTTCGTTGGGGTCCGGTTATGTTTTAAACATTTGATTATTTCCAACATTCCAATTTGAACTTAGCTCCTGCAATCTTATTGGTCAATCTTTTTACAGTTTACCCCAAAGTAACTGGTCTCATTATTTACTTCTTCTCTTTTTTTTTTCGGTAAGTAGAAGATTTGACATAGTAATTTATTTTGATCGAAAAAGAAAGTAGTAATTAGTAAAGACAAGCATAGGATAAGGGCTAAACTAGAGTTTAGAAAGCTAGAAAAAGGGATAAGATGCATAGACTCTCCCACAAATATAGTTACACCAAGTCCACGACTCATTTTGTGGATGAAAACTTAACGCCTAAAGACTTATCATCATCATTGTATCTCCCTTCTAGAAAATAAGTCCGTGTTAATTATTTACGGAAGTAAATGATAAAATAAAGTAATTTGTACCATTTTTTTGAATCACAATGGAACAATTCATTAATCTAATCAGTGTCGTGCCAAAGTTTTTAAAGATTCAAGACAAGTTAAAAAATTGAGATTTTTTTTTAACGTTAGTTCTAAACCATACTTTTTTAATAAAGTATAAATCCAACATAAAAACTAAAACGTAAACAAAAAAAGAAATCTATGATTACTTTTTTTCTTTTTCTGTGAACTTTTTTTACCAAACTCTCATAAACGGTTTATTGAATTAATATTTGGAAATTAAAAGCTCCAAATTTACCTATTATTTAGGAACTCAAGGCGAATGCCTTTTTCTAACCGTATAGACAAGGCCTTGAGTCTAATTAACTCTATTATAGTTTAATTTCCTGATGGGTTTATAGATGTCAATACACCGTAATCACTTATCAATAGTTTTGTTTTAATGTTTTTTGTTGTGTGAGAAGTTTTAAAAATAGTATTTTAGAATACCCTACGATCCACTTTCATTGCAGGAGGATAGTGGTGGGTACAAAACCAAAGTACAAAGGCACAACTATTCGAACCGTTGATGGTAGCCCACTGCCACATGCTCGCTCCACCACCGATCCACTCGAAAATTGCAATTACTAAGTTATATGAAAAAAAAAAAAAATTCTACAATATATGTGTTACAATATATCGCATGTCCATTTTCAAAAATGCCATTATAGATTGTCTATTTTTAAAAATACCATTTATTAAGAATTTTTAAATCCTAAATATAACAATTTTAAAATTAAAAAAGGTTTCGACCCCTAACAAACCCTAACCTTCAAAACTAAACCACAGTATAACATAGTTAATCCAAACATAAATGATATATTGAATAAATAATTTTGAAAAAGTGATATTTTTGAAAAATGGTATCTCTCAAAAATTCTCCACATCTATTAGTAAATTATTAAACAC